TTTGGCCCTAATAACTCGGACCAAGTCTTTCCACGCCCTCTTTCGTGCCTTCCACCATTGGGGTCCAGATAGAGTTTTGGGTTTATTGTGCCGTAGAGTGTTGATTTGGATTAGATTGGTCCTTAGTCGATACCCGTGAAGCCTTATTTCGACATTAGGGGTCGATTTAGCCCCTCACAACGTACATTTAAAAATACTATCGAAAGATTAGAAAAACTGATCGTAACACACTTCAATCACGTAACTCATATCTATATCCCAATTTTATGAGTGTAAGGTGAAATCTTCAAGTTTATACTTACAGGTTTTTCTTGCTTCACAAAATAAATAAGGAATTTATTCTTATAAATTATATTTACATTTGAATAAACTACAGATCACTAGGATTTTTATTTCTCGAGTTACGTATAACTTCAATGATTTAATTTGCGCGTTGGATATTAGCATCACACACAAAAGGCACGTCCCTAGTTTGTAAGTTTGTAACACCGGTAACTCACGTATGAGACCTTTTCAAAACCGGTTTTACTAGTATATTGTAGAAGTTAAAAAATATTAATATATCAAATCATTATGCAATTTAGTAAGTAGTAAAGAGGCTGATGTGGCTTAGGAGAGGAATTGTATGATCGAATTATATGATCGAATTATTATATAGCCATAGATTCTAAGCCTTCATGCATATTACATCATGTATTCTTCTCACAAGCATATTTACGTATATTTATCGATATGCTTTATCTATCATTTTATGCACTTTCACTTTTTTTTTTCCTAATCTTAAATGACCATGAAAATATATGAAATAATTTTTCTTTCATTTTTTTTATACTTAACACAGTTTTCATCAGTAAATGCCGAAGCTGTGGGTTTCAATAGTTCCAATTTTAATATCAGTTTTAATCTTCCATTTGACGCTGATGTTCCTGGTCGTCATAGCGCAGAAATTGCTTTTTTATTTTTTTTCTTACGGGTTGCACCTGTTATATATCAATTCTGCTTTGTATATCCGAATGATAAGAAAGAATTTTTATATAAAGATCATGAGGATAAAGCTGTTTCTATAGGTTTAAGATTTTATAATGATATTATACAATTGATTTTACCTTCTTTGTTACTATTATTTCCTTCTTTCCTTACACCTTATAATTTATATCCAAATATATTATTCATTACATTAAAAATATATACCATTATAATGATTTCTGCGTCTATAGTGTCATTTTCCTTTTCTACTTATGATTATAACCATTATTATTTTCTTTATGATTATTTTAAAAATGGGAAAAAATACTTTTATCAAGATATTCATGGTTATTATTTTGATGTGAATTTTAATGAAAAGCAAAAAGAGATTAATTTTTATCTATATTTTAAAATATTTTGTATCATGATCGGTTTAATTAATATGTTATTTAATTTCTTTATATTAATCTTTATTGGTAGAGCTTATGGGTTTAAGTCCTTATATTTTTTCGCTTTTGTTTTTTTTGTATTAGTTCTATTAATTGGAAGTATTGATGCTATTAAATTATTAATTAGTGACTTTTTTAATGTACATATCGTAAAATGTAGAGATTTTTGTAGAGGAAATGGGATGACACTTAACTTATTTACCGTGGGTTATGCTACAAGAACATTACATTTTGCAGCAATAACTTATTATTTTTCAAGTGCTTCTGCATATCATTGGATTACTGCTACCGTACTTTTTTCTGCAACGACTACTCTGAATTTTGCTAAAACAGATATTCGGTTTGAAAATCCAAATTCTTCTTTTTTATATAAAATCGACTGGTTATATCATTTTAAAGAATGTAAGTTGTTCTTTTTTTTATACAATTTAAAAAATATGTACATTCATTTCTCTTTATATCTATTTAAACATTTTATTATACAGATACAAATGATAAAAATGATAAAGAAAAAGGTACGCTCTTATATTAAATTATTTTTTTAAAAAAAATTTTTAAAGTTTAAAACCAAACTTTGTTGGCAGGTAAATTAAAAGAATTGGTTAAGTCACGATATAAGAATTTAGAAGTTAAAGTTGATTTTTAAAGTAACCAAGAGTGCTAATTTAGTGCAGTAAATTTAAAGTTAGATCAACACATTAACATAAAAAATTTAGTAAAATATAAAAAAATGGAAACCTTAATAAAAATAATTCATAGATAGATTTCAACTATATTAGCTAATAAATAATTATATTTCTATGTCGCCAATCTTAATGATATTCAGTTAATTTGTGATATACTTATGCTGAACTTAACTAATTAAGGCAAAGTCATTTTTCGCAATACGTATTCAAATCTTTCAGCGTGGTGTTCTTGTCAAGTGCATCTGCTAATGCTTTTTTTCCTTCTGATTCAAGATTATTCCAACTAAGATTCAAAGAAGTTAGCGTGGTGTTCTTGTAAAATGCGTATGCTATTGCTTTTCCTCCTACTGATCCAAGATAATTATTACTAAGATTTAAAGAAGTCAGAGAGGAGTTCTTGCAAAGTGCATATGCTAATGCTTTTCCTCCTTTTGATCCAAGTTTAGTATCTTAAGATTCAAATCTTTCAGCGTGGAGTTTCTGCAAAGTGCATACGCTAATGCTTTTCCACTTTCTGATCCTAAATTATTCCAACTAAGCTTCAAAGAAGTCAGCGTGGAGTTCTTGCAAAGCGCATTTGCTAATGCTTTTCCTCCTTCTGATCCAAGTTCATTATTACAAAGATTTAGTGAAGTCAGCCCAGAGTTCTTGCAAAGTGCATACACTAATGCTTTTCCTCCTTCTGATCCAAGTTCATTATTACAAAGATTTAGTGAAGTCAGCGTGGAGTTCTTGCAAAGTGCATACGCTAATGCTTTTCCTCCTTCGGTTCCAAGTTCATTATTGTAAAGTTCTAGTGAAATCAACAAGGAGTTCTTGCAAAGTGCATCTGCTAATGCTTTTCCTCCTTCGGTTCCAAGTTTATTATTACAAAGATTTAGTGAAGTCAACGTGGAGTTCTTGCAAAGTGCATCTGCCAATGCTTCTCCTCCTTCGGTTCCAAGTTCATTATTGTAAAGATCTAGTGAAATCAACGTGGAGTTCTTGCAAAGTGCATCTGCTAATAATTTTCCTCCTTCTGATCCAAGATTATTATCATAAACATTTAGTGAAGTCAGCGTGGAGTTCTTGCAAAGTGCATTTGTTAACTCGTTTAAATTTTTCAATCTACCATTAGAAAGGCCCCATGTTGAAGCACTATTTTGATCTTCAAGACTGTGTTGGTTGTTTTCGAGAATTTCTTCAAAAATTTCTAATGCTTTGAGAAATTTGCCTTGATTAAAACATTCATGTGCTTCCTTTCTCAAATTCTCAAGAATACTATTATCCTGTGTTGAGAGATTTGAATTTGTCAAATCAGGCAAATAAAGTGGAGCTGATGTCATAATTTCAAGTGAATCTACGAGTGTGCTTATATTATCTTGATGATTCGAGGAAGTTTCGATATTTTGAGATGATGTTTCAATAGGATGGTGTTGACTCAAATTTTCATTCGGAATAAGTTGTTTTAAGGTATTAAAAATTAATTTGGTTTCTGGACGATTGGCAGGATCGTTGCCCCAACATTTTTTGTAAAGTTCAATATATTGAGATGGTGTACCTTCTATAGGTACTTCTCTATTTCCTAGAAAGATATGAATAGCTAATGATTCTCTTGTTTTAAAGGATTGAAAAGGTGGGTTTCCACTTGAAATTTCCCAGAGAATTACTCCGAAGCTATAAACATCAGATTTCTTATCACGTTTATATTTGTGATTAACAAGGCACCTAGGTTCGATGTATGCTGGCATTCCATGAGCAATAGAGTTTGAAGTCCTAGATGTCTCATTTATCGGTTTTGATAGTCCAAAATCTGCGATCTTTGGTTGTTTCTGATGAATTAAAATGTTTTTCGAATGCTAAATCATTAAAGTATTAGTGATCGGAGTATTAATAAATTATAAATATATAATAATATCAGACAAAACAAATAATACTTACAAGATCTCTATGAATAATATTATTATCATGCAAAAATAAAAGTCCGAGTGCTATTTCCTTAGCAATACATAGTTTATCTGTCCATTGCAGTCTTGTAAAATTTGCTTTTAAATAATCTCGTAAAGTTCCTTCATTAGCATATTGTAAAACCATATTATAATATCCATTGTTATCTGTATATTCGATTTATTATATATTTTTGCTTTAAAATGATCATTACTTGATACCTTTAAAAATTATAAATCATTTGTTTACCTTTCGTGATCCCATAAAATGTAATAAAGTTTGGATGGTAATAAACTTTTCGTAATAGTTTAAGCTAATTATATTAGTTGTAAGAATTTATTATTAAATAATAGCTGCAATTAAAGTTTCAATATAACAATAAATACCTCATTAATAAAATCTTTAACGTTTTCTTCACCTGTACTTATATCAACTTTAAGGCATTTAAGAGCAACTATTAATTCATAGTCCTTCCACTCGTATTTAAAAACCTTTCCAAAACCTCCAATACCGATCTCAACTGGGTTTGTAAACTTATTATGTTCGAGATAATTAATATGTCGATCTGAAATAGCTTTTTCAAGCCATTCTTTCGATTTGTTAGCCATGACTTTTTTCAGTAAATCTTGGTTGAAAATATGTGCGTACAGATTTCTAATACAACACCATATATTGTGTATCACCAAGACAATGAGTAAGTTTTGCCATAGTATTTTTTTTTTGCACTACCTCACAATAGAAATTATAATACCATATAAGCACTAAATAATGTGCAGAGGCATTATTTTGAATAATGGCCCGAATTAGACTTAATTTAGGCAAAATTTTGAAATTACACTCCTGCATATTTTTTCACTTTTATATAGTAATTTTAATACAAACTAAATTTAACAACATACTATGTTACTAAATAATGAGAAAGCTCTAAAACAGAATTTTTTTACTGTAACTCATATTAAAAATTATAATAATTTCAATATAAACCAACTTACTCTTTAATTACTTGCTGTGTAATCACAAGAATTGTGAATAAGTCTATAGCAGAATTTTTGGCAATAACTCATAATAAAAATCATAATATTCCTGGTATAAACTAATACATCACCGAATAACAATTTTTGCAACAAAATTTTTAAAAGTTCAGTCTCGATAGAGTGATTGGACTTGTTTAATCCAGGTGATGTGTCAAGTTGATCCAAATAAACTGACAGATATTTCCAGTGAGCTTAAACTCGCTGGGAATACCCGTCAGTCTACCCAATCAACCTGATGTGTCACCTGGGTTGAACAGGTCCAATCTTATTTGAGGACTTTGTCTGATTGGCTTATGAAATAAATTGCCCAAGAACTTATTTTTGAGTTAACATGCATATGGATATATGCGTAGTCAACAGATCGAAAAGATGGCCAAGCAGGGCAAGCTCTTTGGGGGCCGGGCTATCTCCAGTTCAATACAGCAAGGAATGGGTGCATGTGAAAATTGATACTGTGTCACAAGATCCATATGGAAGCCAAATGCAGGTAGGCATGATGTGAAATCATCTTTCAAGAATGGTAATTACTAACAACTCTCAGCCAGGACTGAGGCAAGTAAACTACAGGGTAGAAAAGGAGGTAACTGCAGCAACTGCACAAAGAGCTGCCATTTCCACTATGAGAAGTAAACCATTTCATGACCCAGTGTTACAAAAATTTTGTGTTCAGATTTTCTTTGTAATATTTTTTTTATTGTATTAGTATTCCTTACTATATTTGTTAGTATTATTGTATGAAATGGCTGTGCATTGGTCCAGGACTACTTGAGTTTGAAAATGTATAAATAAGATGCTAATGCTAATAAAGGGATGATGATGATGTTATATTATATTCTTTTGCTTCAATTAAATGACTAAATAAATAAATATATTCCTTAATAACCCTTATCATTAATTCTGAATTCTTTATAAACATTTATCTCGCATAACCTATGTTTGTAACTCTGAGCTAATTTGACCTCATGTTAGCCAAGTCTCTCCCACAGTTACAAGACCGGCCCCTCCCCAACTCTTAAAAAAAAAAAAGGATACTTGAAGATCAAGGAACCCAGTGATATCTTCGTGATAATCACATCACATGAAATTATACAACTACGTTATTTGTTTACTAGCACCAAACAAATTAGCCTAAACTAACCTATCATCTAACCTAACACTAACACTAACCCTAACCCTAACGTACTAGCACTAAACAAATTAGCCTAAACTAATCTATCACCTAACCCTAACATAGGCCGAACACTTAATTATGTGATGTGATTATCACAAAGATATCACTGGGTTCCTTGATCTTCAATCTTCCCCCCAAAAAAAGAGATAACCTGATATTTTCATGATGTTTTCTAAATGTGATTGTTTACGATTCGCACTGATGGCCGGCCTGCATTATGCAGGTGGGAAACCACCGGCCAATGCTGTACATATCAAACGCAACTGCTTACGGTAATTCCCAGTGCAATCTCAGTTGCTATTTTCTGGGAGTTCATCTGTTTCAGTGTCAATTATGCTTAAATTAGAGGTTGGAACCGGTTTTAAATATTCGAGTTTATCACATCAAAATTCGAGTTTATCACACCAAAATTCGAGTTT